GTTTCCATTTTCAGCAGCAAAGCTCGTACCTGTGTTCATGGCTCAGTGAGCCTGTGTGCCTGTAATCACAGTCGCCGATTCAAACCCAGTGTATTTAGAACGTGAAAAGCGATCTTCAGCTGAGATGCCACAAAACTTCATACTACTACTAATAATTAAAATATATATAAAAACATTTTAAACCGTTTAACTGATAGTAATATTCAGTCAAAATTAATTATTTTGGTTAACGGTTAAACGGTCAAAAGGAGCATCCCTAATCAGGACACACTCATTTCTTAAGTATCGTGTTTTCTACCCAGCTAGGCAATAGCTAATCGATGGTGCAGAAATGAGGACAATTGTTTTGCTACATAGTAAATACATTGTTGGATGGAAAATAACACATCCTATGCACAGTTAAAAATTATTTCAATTTTTGTCAAGGTGTAATGGCTAATTATTCCGAAGTAGAATCTCCCCTCAGTGTGATAAAATGGTTGCTGCATGTGCTTAAGACTCTACAGAATGATATAATGTGCGTTGAAAAGAGCTGCTTTTTCCTGGTTTTCCTGACAGCCTCACAGAGGCTATCCAAACCACTTCCTTACTTTCTATGGGCCTCTTCGCCACAGAAGGCTAATGTTCTGAGGGAATCCTTCTAAGGTCGCCATATGGTCTCTGTGTTGTAATTGTAGTTTGATTCTTTAGGTCACTTGCAGACATGCCATTGGCTACATAGCCTGTAATCTGGCAGGGTACCATTTTCCCCTTGATTATAGTGAGCTGCAACATGTAACATCTGATTCCTGATTCTGTTGATACCCTGTCAGGGAGAAATGCATTTCAAAGTGTTTTCTGCATGCAATTAATGCCAATTTGGCAGGAAGGGAAATCCCCCTAGGATTAAATTAGCACCATATTCATATTTGCAAACAGCTTGACCGTTAGTCAGACTTTTTTATGGGTCTCAGTATCTAGCAACAAAGAGGGTGTTTTAAAGATCTCGTAGAAGCTCAAGACCTTTTACACAAATCCTGCTGGCAGAAGATTGCATGCTGAAAATTTATGAAGCTAGTCTTGCAGTAGAAGGTTGGCATGTTGTGCAGGGGCCATTTCTTCCTGATGAACTGTCGTCTGTGTGGCAAGATGTGGAGGAGAGGAGTGTTGTGCAATAGGAGGAGGAGACTCGCGTGTTGCAGAAACATTGGGAGGCAGAGCCCCTCTGTTGTCTCGCACTCCTGACCCAGCTCCAGCCTCTTCTCCCCTACACCACAGGGATGTCATGGAAGGCTGTAATTATTGGAGACAAGTTGGCGGGAAAAAAAGGATTCATCTCTTGCCTGTTGCTTTGCTATATCATGCATAAAGGAAAGCTTGTCAGATTCCCTGGACAGAGTGCAGGTTAGACATACTTGGTAGTAAGCTCAGTGTTTGAAGGACGCTAGAAGGCCGTTTCTCTGCTGGACCGTGTAGGGTTGTAGCTTAAGATATTGCATGTCCCAGCACTACTGATTCTTGTTGACTGCATGTGCTTCTCCCAGTGATTTTCTCTTGCTCTCTCATTTAATATTGTTAAGTCTCAGTGGTTCAGTGGTCAGACGTTGAAGCTTTGATGTCCTCAAACAGCCATCTCACCCCAGTCAGCTGTATGCTTAAACTCATTTCTTCAACCTCTAGCCCAGATGCAGAGCAGCAGTACAGTCTGTCTCGGTGCCCAAGCACACCTCTAAGTGAGGGATGTCCTGAGGCGTAACCACACTGACATGGCTTTGCTTACTAGTAGGGCCAAAAGCGTGTCCAAACCAAGCTGATTGCATCACCACCATCTGATTGGTCAAAATGCAGTAAAATACCAGTGTTCTGCACTTGAATAATTTGAAGGGAAAAGCGTATATTCTATATATTCATTATTAAGTATTGCACATCACAATGTTTTTTGATGCATTCCCAACAACTTGGATCTTGAAAGCTTCCAACCTCCTTCTTACTACTATACTATACTAATACTGCTAGTACTATAGAACAGCTGAATGGAATGGATTTATAATACAAATTTACACAAGCTAATGCTAACTCTGCTAGCATTTGATACTTGCATAATGTAGCAATTCTCACAGACATGCTAGCAGAAATTAGCACAGTAGTAAAAAAATAAAAACAATAATTGTACATTATGGTTGTCCCATGACACTGAGCCGACCCTTCTGCAATGGAAAACCAAAGTGAGCTGGTACTGTGCTGTAACTAGTTTTTCTTTGTACGGGTCGGTTTCTGTATGCCCGTGGAAAAGTGCCTCTGGAGAGACTACAAGCCCGTAGAGCAGGGTTATTCAACTCACAGTCCTTGAAGTCCGAGCACTGTTGGTTTTCCAGCCTTCTTTTACCTGTCAGTCAGGTGTGAAGCCTCTGACCAATCAGAATCAGTAATCATTAAACAACTACCTGGGAGAACTGAAAACACGGCCTGGATTTGGAATCGAGGTCCAGAGTTGAAGAACCCTGCGCGTAGAGTCTCCCATGCCTGAGGACACTTGTTTACTTTTAATCTGGTCTCAGCTTCAAGGTGCTGTAAGGCAGGTTCAGGGTGAGGGTCGTCAGTGTCAACAGCTACAAGTGCAGCAGCTATTTTTGCACAGCGACCACAAAGACTGGTGTTTCCGCTGTCGTTATTTTCCTGCAACAGCTGTGCCATTCAAATGCTGCTCCAGGCTTAGGCTCAGCAGGGCATTCAAGGAAAGTGGACCACTTCTGTTGGCGTGCCCATTACATAAACCCTCTCGTCGCTGTGAGCCGCTGCATTGTCCGGGCTTTCTGGTTCCCTAATGAGCCCCCAGATTGTGCTCTGAAATGGAAATCTCCTCATCTGTCCTTTGGCGTCGGAGGGTGGAGGGGAAACAGCCTGTGCGTGGCACTAATTGCAAATCGTGGCGAGGTGCAGAAGATGAATTGCCAAGCAGATAAAACAGGAGCGCTGAGCACCAGTGGAAGTGGTGGGCTTTGATGTTTCCGGGCCCTCCAGCCAGCGCCTAAGCCCCTCATCCCAGCATGACAAAAGGATCTCGTTAGGCTTTCTCCTTGATTAACATGCCAGCTAACAGAAGCTTACACGGTTGGCTCAGCCACATGCTGGCCTGGCTTTAGGGTACCCAGAATCCCTAGCAACCCTGGCACTTTGCTCTGCTGTCCTGCAATTTCATTGAACGATTAGCACATAATTTGCCTTCATTTGAATGTTCCCTATGTATAGGACATGCAGGTATTCTAAATAGATGGATGAATTTTCCCTTTCTTACTCTAAACTCAGCCCGTGTAATTTGACATTGCAGTCATACTAAAAGTTTTGAAGCGATGGCACTTCCCTGGACTGCCAGTGTGCTTAGCCCATTCATCATGGCTGACGACTGCTGATAAGGATGAATGTGGAATAAGACCCTGCAGGTGGCTTTCAGACTTACTCCCTGTGTGTCCTCTGACTGCTAGAAACGACCAAAGTGCTCAAAGTCAGGCACAAACACCAAAATCAGCAAGAGGTACTCTTGGAAAGATGAATAATAGACCATTCAAGAGAACCGTTAACATGAAAGTTGGATGCTGTTTGCAAGCATAGGCAGTCTCCTGAGTAAGGAAGTTGTAACCTACTAATGCGTGGTCTCGTGTCTCGTCAAATATGGTTTCGGTTGCAGTCAAGGCTCATGGGTATTGTTTGCTCCTCTGTCTTTAAATGACCAGCTTCACTGATGCATGAGCGCTGTCAGCCACCTCTGGAGTAGTTTTTTCATGGCACTAAACAAGTGGAAATTCTGCTGAACACTAGTGCTAGCAGTATAGAGCAGCTGGTGTGCTCAAGGGATACCTATGGTCCTGGGAACACCCCAGGAAACGGGCCTGTTTGGGGCCTCTGCCAGTGTAAAGTTGGGGTCTTTTGATTAGCACAGGTGGCTAGAACATTGTTTATGAACTTTTCTCCTCATGGTAAACAGAGAGGGTTTTCATCAATATTGTCATCTCTAGTCAAGCTGTAGCACTGGGCCGAGAGCCCCATCAGCAGGAATCAAGAAATGCTGACTCTGCCGCTGAGAAGCTTAGGCTTTGTAAATGATTGGAACCCTCTTCTATTCTAGCATTCCAGTGACCACAGCTAATGCTGTTAGCAGATATAGCTGCTGTTGCAAGTTATACATCTGTTTTAGCACACCATTGCTCAGGAGAACTGTTATTTTGGAAAATCTGAATTTGTAGTGTAGAGAGTAAATGACTACTTTGTTTATGGTGCAGAATTAGTATCATACAGACACATACAGTTTTGGCTGTAAGGGGTTCTCAACTACTCATACCATTAAATCACAATTTCCCCAAACGACAGGCAAAACTTTGTGTAAAGATTGCTGACGGTGGGTGAAGTAGCAGGTTGCTTTCACTTCCAGTGGAAATGGATCATTCTCAAGTTTACTGGGGCAAAAAGATCAAGGGTCTGTACTGTTGCAGTGCTTGCCGTTTGAAAAACCCATTGCCTTATTGCTGTACAGACGGGAGGGCAGATCTCACACAAATGTATGAAGGGATACCGAACATCTTGGCCAATTAAATATCTTCATATCTTGTTACACTTGGCAAATGAGTCAGCGGTGTCCTGCCACAGTCTCTGTGGGTATTGACTTGATTGCTGTCTGTAGAGTGGCTGTTAACCAGCAGTTATTACTGATCACCTTATGTCATCACAGCTGGGCATAATGACTTTCTGAACAATTTACCAGAATTGTAAATATTAAATTGGTTATGATTTTCTTAGTGAAATTACAGCCTAACCTATGCTTGTTCTGGGTCATATATTCCCCGATGTTCCCATGGCCAGGTCTAGACAAATGAAAGTTAAGAATGAAGACCATGCTTAAACTGACTTAACTCCACTCTTTATAGCAACTAGTAAATTAGATATAATTATATAGTATTCCATGGATCTTTTGGATAATCAGTGTGGAATCCATGCACAAATCTTTGACCTGTTATGATGGAAGTTATATGTAAATCATTATTGATCCTTGATTGCTATTTTGTTTTCAGAAGACCATTTTGTTTATATTCACTGTTTTACACAATCTATTATGCACAGTTAATCCTATCATGTGTCTAGCTCAAAGCAAGGTCACCCTGTCTGATTTTCTGTCGTAATGCTAGGCTAGTTTTCTAGATAAATTTCTTAAATTTATTTTAACGTGAACCCAGATGATGGAAATGCATTGAACCTGGTGACATAGGAACAAAAAGCAAGGTGTGGATATTTCCAGCAAGTCAGCCTGCTGAATCCCTCCCCCTCCCCCAAGGAGTTTAGTGTACAAATGTGCGGTCAGTTGACATCACTGAGTGACTCACGGTGTTTCAGAAATTAGTTTCACATCCAGCTTGGCATCCTGTGCAGCCTCCTGCCTATTCTGTCTGTGAAGCCATTCAAGGCTTTCTTAGTTTTTGTCTGTAAAATTGCTCAAACATAGCTATACATTTCCTTTGAATCTAACACAGGCAGTGAGAGGAAATGGGGCCCACATGGGCTAACTAGACGAAAGCCTTTGTTTGAAGTTTTGCTGTTGGCAGAAATCTGGAAGCTCCTGTTCTGCCATGTGCCTGCCAGCATGAAGTTAAAGGCAACAGTCATTATGCGACCAACCATACAGAAGCTTGTTGCTCATTTATCCTTCTGTGGCTCCGCGGTGCTGGAAGCAGTGTCACTATTTTATTAGTTTTAATTAAAAGATATCATGCTGTTTGATTTCTGTGTGTTTTCCAGTATGCAACTGGTAGTTCTAAAAAAAAAAAAGTACTGTGACATTCCTGCCAAGAATCTGATGGTGTTGATTCATATACTGGCAGTTTATGGTGGCAGAGCCATACTTGCTCCATATGCCCTGGTTTGTCCATATGCGCTTGCTGAAATTGCCCTAAATGTGAAAGCATCTAGTCGTGAGATTGGTTTTACCCAAACAGTGCTTTGTTGGGCTTTCTTAATGCCGAACCCCCTTCTTTTCTCACTTGTAGGTTAGTGAGATAATAGCACCTTGGCACAATCTGCAGGGTTTAAAAACTTTCAACAACCTGTTTATTTGTCCCACAGCAAGGTGACACGAGCCTCCCACCTCATCGTGCCCCGTTTTTGTTCTCCAGTAATTCATTTTTCATCCGCTGTCTTGTTGAACTGGCCGCAGGCCTCGCCAGAATGACGTATTTCATTTATGTCAAGTGAGGACAGGGGCCCTGCGGGGAGGGAGGCACAGATTACTAATGTGGAACAGTTGGCATTGAACTTGAATCCCTTATGTAGGAGATACACCTTCATTTAGCTGCACCACTTAGGAGGCTCCTGCTGTTATGAATTGTGGGCGTGTTTGTCTTTTTCTTGCAATGTGTTTTTGTTATAGGAAATATGAGATCAGTTCTTTACTAATGTTGAATCCTTTTATAACTATATTGCACCAAAATTTTGAACTGGAAAATATTAAATATGAATAATTTATCCAACTTTGTTGATGAATCTCCCCCCAAATTTTTCAGGAATGTTAAATATTGTTTGTCAGACTTTGAACCAACATTGAAGTTTTGCAATCAATTTAGCAGTTTTGCAACTCTTTCCTAGCCTCTTTGAGCTTGAGCTAGGGTGACTGTGATAAGCCCTTGTGTATGCAGTAAGGGGTCACTGAGGAGGAAGGCACAACATGGCTTGGTTCAAATACCATCCCATAACACTTGGAGGTATTAGTGGTAGCTGGGTGGGCTGATGCACCATTGCAGTAGACATTTTGAAGTACGTTAGCTGTACTGTTGTGTGTGTTCAAGTTTTAAGATGTTTTCTTCATGATTTTTGGATGGGTATATGTGCCAATAGGTTTTTCCATTTATGGTTTTGGGGAAGTGATCCTCTTTTAAAGCAGCTTTTGTGGAGTGATCAGGATGTCTGCTTGGCCTCACTGTTTGGATTTTGAACACTGTAGTTTGCGTGCATCTATATTTATCAAAAGTCTCAGTTGAAAGCTTTATCAAAGTCTCAGTTGTCCTTCCCTTTTGCAGGTGTGACCAGCTCTGCCCTTTTACACTCCAAGTCCCTGCGTGGTCACAGAGACTGCTTCGAGAAGTACCATCTCATCGCCAACCAGAAGTTGTCCCGGACCAAAGTATCCCGCAGCACTTATGAGGGTGTGAAGAATGTTCTGAGCCAAAAGATAAGCCGTATTATCCAATATGCTCAGAACAAGGATGGTTCGGCAGATGCAAGCCGCCGTGGGGTCAAGCACCAGCTCCTTTGCTGCAGCCAGCAGGGTGACCGCAAGCTGGTGCCCCGGACAAGCTCACATGTACCCCGCTATGCCCCCCGCTGGGAGGAGGGAGCAGCCTCAGGGGTCCCGGACCACTCCCAGGGCATTCTCAGATGTCACTCTGCGAAACAGCTGGGACTGAGTGTCCTGGAAGATGAAGGCGCCCCGTTCCATCCCGGGGCTGGCCTGTGGCCAATGGGCAAGAATGGTGTACATCGGGCTCAGCAACAGGGCAGCGAGCCAGCTGGGGTTCGACAACGCAAGCCTCAGGGCCATAGCCAGGAAGAGTGTGAGTTTGATTTCTGTGCCTCCATTCTATATAGGTTAAGAGCACTCGTTTAGTGGACTGGGTGCTAACTGTACAGACCCTTTCTCTGTCTTTCATACCAGTGAACAGAATGAGTGTTGATGAGCTCTGTCAGCTGAAGGGACAGCTGCGACTGCAACTTCAAAGTAAGTAATTCAGATGTCTCTCGCGTGACCATCCGCCCCAATTCACACCATTCTTGCGAACAGATGCTGACCGGTTTCGCTTTTCATTTATTGCAAGGACGCTTTAAAATGGACATTTCACACAGTGAAAGTAGATATAAATTATGCATAAGGAATTGTGGTTCAAATCTTTAAGCTGTCCCGGCAGAATAATTATAATAACTCTGTGTGGCATGTTTGCTGTTCTCTTTATGACTTGCATTCTCATTGCTTGCATGTAATTGACTCTTTTTTTTTTTTTTGCCTTGCATCTCCACAGAGGTGTTTGAGGAACTGACGACGGCCGTCCAGGAGAAGGACTCCTTGACCTCAGAGCTGCATGTCCGTCACATTGCAATTGAGCAACTCTTCAAGAACTGCGGCAAGCTCCCCTGGCTGCAGGTTGGCAGGGCAGGGGTCAAGGCGAGCAACACGCCAACGGAGTGACCGCTTGGCTTGGGACGTTGTCTCACCCCATCCACCTCATTGGCTTCTGAACCACCTGACTGGACTGCTCCAGCCACTTTTTTAACCCAAGAAAAATATCTGGTTCTGTTTCAAAGTATTATTTTATTACATTTGGATAGATAAGGTTTATAGGGGTGTGTGTGTGGTGTGCGCGCGTGCGTGCAGGCATGTAAGGTTACCATGTATGGGTGAAATCATGATTCGGGTAAACCAGGTGATCTGTGAGGCAAGCAGAGACTAGGGCTGAATGTATAACCTTCAGCATTGATCTGAGATGTCCGCAGAGAACATGCTTCATCTATGCAGAAACAAGAATGAATTCTGTGGTTCTCATTTAAGAGCACACCTATTTGTGCTTTTTTAAAATATGCTTTAAATGTACACCGAAACAGGAAGTACATGTTTAATATTAATTTGCCGTTTTTAGTCTGTTTTATGTTATAACCATTACATTTTTGTCCAGATTCACACTTGATGGTATTTATTCTGACGTTTTCTATTTATTGCGCTAGCAGTGTGGCTCTGATGCAACATCTGTCTTGTGGTCAGATCTTTTTAGCACCTCTGAGATTTCTGTTCTGGTAACAGTACAGTGCTTTCACCAAGCACATCAGCAGTGGTTTATGGTATTTGGTCCCCTGAACTGGGTTTACAGTTTGGCTTTTGGATGTGGTTTTGCATCTCTTGGCTTATCGTTTCCGCCCGGTTGACACTTTCCTTGTTGCTGTGGTAACTTGCAGTAGGGAGGTGTATCAGTGCAATGGAAGTTCTTAATTGGAGCTGAGGGAACCATGCCAACAATGCCATCTTTTGATGGAATAAAAAGTGGCTTCGTTTTCACGTAGCCAGTGTGAAAATGCACAGTGAAATTTCATAGGCTGTTTAAAAATGTCATCCCCATGTTGTACGCCAGTGAGGTTTGTAAGATTTTGAGTCTATTTGAAATGCATACCACTATAGACTATATATCATTTTAAATTTATTGTAGTTGGTTTTTATTCTGCTGTCATTCTGATCAGATGTGCAGCTACATGTCATTGGCACACAGATTCTACTGTCTTGACTTGGTTCATGCTCATCAAAAGGTGTTTTCTGTTTGAACTTTGTTGTCCGTTTTAGTTGCATTATCATAGTACAGATGTGATAAGTAATTGAGGTGTTAGGTTTAGCTGATGTTTTTAGTTCATTGATGTTTTTATGATTATGCATTTCAAATAGGAAGCATAGCTCCTCCTGCTCTTTGGTTTTTGGTATGACAATCTTTTTGTGCTTTTGAGTGAAACATAAAGTGTGCCTGCCCCCTGCTGGCCATTCAAGGTGTATACGACCCAAATACATATACAGTGGTACCTCAGTTCTCGAACTCATTAGAACTCAAATTTCTTAAGTCGAACCAACCAGTTCGGAAAAAAATTACCTAGAACTCGATCTGAATCTCAGAAGTCAAACCAACCTAAGACAATTTGTATGCGCGGGGAAATGAGTCACACCGGCACGTCACTCAGCAGAAACAAAGGGTAAAGCTTCAGTCTCAGCCTCGCATTCGATGTGATAGCATCGTGCATGTTTACACTAGCTGAATATATATTTAAACAGTAAAAATACATTTAGACAATGATAGACAGTAACAGTAATTATCATTACATAATAAAATACATTTAAAAATAAAGATTTCTTATTTTAATATTAATAATAAACCATTAATACATTTATAATAATATTGTCGTGCCAAGCTGGGACGGAACGGAGACAAAGGCGCAGACGTCAGGGTATCGGGGAATACGGGGTTTAATTACAGGTAAGGCAGGCAAAACGCAGACGGACAATACAATGACCGGACTGGGGAAACAAACTGAAACGCAGATGAAATACAGAGGACTAATGACAAGAACCAGAAACAGCTGATCACAAGGGGATTCCACACGGGGTTAACGAGGGGGCGTGGCACACGGAAGGCGTGGACGATTGGGGCAGGACACATTGTTTGGATACATTTTTCTTACTTTACACATTAGTGTTTTGATAAATGTGCTTAGATGTGTTTAGTACAGTATATGCTCTTCTTGTTTTATCCAGTTCATTTTGTGTTTAAATGCTTAAAAAAACACATTTAGGTGTAATTTTTTTTGGGGCCGGGAACCAATTAATTGGTTTTTCATTATTTCTTTTGGGGGAAAATTCAATCAGAACTCGAACTTTTTAGGATTTGATGTGGAGTTCTGAACGGATTAAGTTCGAGAACTGAGGTACCACTGTATATATATACTGTATATTTTTTTTGTGCACTGCTGATTGCTGGAACACAAGAAGTAATGAATCATTGTTTGTTTTTCTCCCTTCAGACCATGCTATTGCAATAAGACTGCTTTGCTTTTATTTGGATGCCCCAAATATTCTTTCTCTTTATAAGAGCAATATTTGCCCCTACTGGGGTTTTAAGGGAAGGTTTTTCAAACTGAAATAGATCTGACCTTAGTTTGGTTTTGGTGTGCAGCTCAAGCATGCTTTTGATTTAACCGAGTGATGTTTTACTAGACATTGTATCCGAGGTGTTGGGTTCAAGGTTGCCCACTGTGAGATGTTACCTTAACTAATGACTACTTGTTTGAACTGATGCCTTGCTGCCTTACAGGAAATGTGCTCTATCACAGATTTCTGTACGTTCACAGTAAGTTTGTGTGTGTTTATCTGTGCTGGGACACCTGCAACCCACATCTGGCATTTATAAATATGTGTAGCCCTGTGGGCTACTTATTGTGATACGTACATGGAGAAAAATGCAATAACTTTCAGCTCACTGCATTTGTGAATTGCCTGTCCTGTGATTTGTATTTTTACAAAAAATTAAAATATTTTCTTATCTATTCTAACAGTTTGTTTTGATTGGCAAATAGAATGAGTGTGTATATGTGGAAAATGAATGCCTACTACACAAAGGTAAAACTAAATGCAAGCAAGAAGCTCATTGTACTGTAGTCTGCAACTACATTTTTCCATTTTGTGGGGTCATATCAAATTTGAACACATGACATACAGTACAACAATGTAGGCAAAACAACGTATGTCCTTTTGATTCTGCATCCAAATATACCTAAACTACACACTAAAAATGTCATTCCAACATCCAGAAGAATTCTCATGTCATGCTACAGAGAGTGTTCATGCTACTTAATGTCACATTTCCACAGATTATAGTCCATCAAAGTTTTTACCATAATCATTATGTTGTCATCACTTTATCCTGCTTTAAGGTGATTGGCAGTCAATATGTTGGTTCACCTACATGTATTGCGCGCTCTCTACTTCTCAAATTGATTTAAAATTAAGAGAATTAACATTTAACTGGTTGCAAAATTAAAATTCTGCATGAAACCAGACACCTGCATCTCCTGCCATCTCTGAAATTCATTCTTAATCTTCATTATTTGGGGGGGGATATCATTTTCAGGTCGTATTGACCCAGAGAATTTGAATATTCTCAAGAGTCACATCAAACTTTGTTTAGACTTTAAATAGCACAGCATTTATTTCAAATATTGTGTTTGACAATGGCTGATTTGAATAGAAGGTGACAGGTTTCCTTTAATAATTCTGTCTTTTGTAACTGTTCAATCACCTTAAGGTGTGCACAGTCAGGCAATTCCAGAAATCCCTGCAGTTGTCTAAGCCCTTGGCCCTTTTGAATGGGGTGGACCTCTTGTCTTCCTTTCACTCACTTTACACTCCACACAATGGGCAGGATACTTGAAAGGACAACGCATTAATGGAACAAGATGTCCATCTGCTGGAAAACAAAGGCCTACATTGTACGTGAGGAGTCTCATGTGTGGGATCCCCATCTCTTTATCTCTGATTGCAGACATCTCGTCTCTTTCCCATGGCTGATATTACAGTTATCTAAACAAATCACCCTAAACAATTCCTGTGGTATTCTTACTGGAAGAAAAATTATTTTTACTTTTTGTGTTCCAGACACTGGCAATTGCCTCATCTTCTGATCTCTGAACTCCACCAAACTGCAACAAACCAATATATGCAAGTATATGCCTAATTTCCTGAAACTTGGCTGAATCCGACACAATCTTCTCTGTCGCTTGAGGTATAAATGATTTAAATGCAGATTGTGCATCAAGTATTTCTGTGGCTGTAAGATCCTGGTACAATTTTGATTACACTGGAAGCTGCCGGGTTTGCCTATTTTTTTTTTTTTTCTCCAATTTTTGGATTTTCATTTTCCTACTTTTGGATTAGAAATTTTATCTGACCGTTTTCACAAGATATGTGCGCTCACATAATTATTATATATTCTCGGTCGGAATCACTGATCTCTTCTGTCTGGAACCTCCTGCCCAAAATCAGGATTGATACTTTATTAACTCTGAATCGTCTGGATCTGTCTGCATTCATTCAGCAATAAGCAATGCACATCCAATTTTACACATTAAGATATTCATACAAGTACAATTTGACATGCTACAATTTGAATAACAATACTGTTTCAAAGATGCTTTTTTTATTTTTGAAAATATTTTCCAGCACATAAGGTGGCATGAATGAGTTCATGGCCTCAAACTAAAAATTAATTTAATAATATTGAGAAACGAAGAGCCAAGTTAATACTGCTGCCAGTTTAAAGATTGGCATGGGTCAAGTGAAGTGAAAACATGCCGAAATGGATACATATCTTCCTCATCAATTTGAATGAACATCTTGCAAATTAATGTAAATGTAAGCCGCTGTTGAATGACAGCAATGACGCCTCTTCACGGCTCAGCAGGACAGCCTACCTGTGCCTACCTTTATTCTGCTGGCAAAAAATACACCCAAGGAGTAATTAATAACTAAATGGTTATCAGCTGAGGTGGCCCCAGGCCAGGGGTGGTTTGGTTGTTTCTGTAACCCTACTCAAAAAGTCCCTGATTCTGGCCAATATAGGGCCCCAAAAAAGTGGTTTGAGTGGTAGTAAATACCACTTAAGTGGTTGAAGGATCAAATCTAGCCCTGACTTCTGTATATATGTGTGTGTGTGTGTGTGCGTGTGTGATTCCTGGGATAGGCTACCTGAAACCCTATACCAGATACTGGATATTGTTAGTGACAACCTCAAGTAGTAGGTTATCACTATCTACAAAGGGGGGCAATGCTCTGACTGACAGACCTATACACTGGAGAAAACCATGCTTAACCTTTAGACCACAGCTCATTCAATACAAACGTCTACACATAATGCCCGACCCACAACGGTATCTCCATTGGAGAGGATGAATCACAGAGTAAGTGAATAACTTCTAGGGTTACCAGATGCATGCACACGATTTGACACTGACCTCTCGTGAGCCCCTTCTAGGGACGAGGTAACTTGCAATCAGCATCAATTTTTGTTGATCCCATATATCACTGGCCTCCATCTTTTTGGGGGAACTCATTTTGCTCCATTCGTAGACACTTGACAAAACTAAACACTACAGTTTTCTGTATTGTTGACAAAAATGTCTTAAACCCCCTAGGCAGAGTTTGATGTTTGCATTTGGGGGAGGGGGGAGGGGGGCAAGAAACTGCATCTTGCTTACTTTAATGCACATATCTGATGCATATCCATCCATCTTCCGAAATTACTTGCAGGGTCGCGGGGAGGTCCAGAGCCTGTCCAAGAGATTACGGGCACAAGGCAGGGAACAACCCAGGATGAGGTGCCAACCCATCGCAGGGCACACTCACACGCTATCACTCACCCAAGCACACCTATGGACAATCTGGTAACTCCAATCAGCCTTGGCATGTTTTTGGACTGTGGAGGGGAACCAGAGTACCCAGAGGAAACCCCACGATGACACAGGGAGAACATGCAGACTCCACACACAGAACCGAGGCAGAGACTTGAAGCCAGATCTCAGAGGTGGGAGTGCTGACCACTGCACCAACATGCCACCCCCTCTGATGCACATATAACCTATTATGTTGTCTACCTATATGCAGCGCTTAAGTTGTGCAGGAGCCTGGCACCTCTCAGGTGTGCCGTCACCTCAAACGCTACTCCCAAAGTAATTAAACTTAAAATTCATTTGATTTCAACTAGGGAATAAATGAAAATTGAAGTAAATACATGTATGTTTTTCTAAATCTTTTGTGTTTTTTTAAACCTTCATCCGCCAAAATTAGTAGCCCTATGTTTCACTTATCTGACTCTTTTGAAAGGAAAAAAACCGGAGCACAAACGCAGAAAAATCCACCTTTTCTCCTTTAAAACAAATGAGGTTACATGCCAGGTTGTTACAGCAAAATAATTCAAAGGAAATGATGAAAAGGCTATAGAGTAATATGTTGAAGTTTCTCTAGGCTTATAGAATAACAGCTTAATCTTGTCTTTTCCTAGATACCTCAACAAAATAGTTGTCTTCCATTAGCCAGTGGATATATCTTAGGTTAGCATAAAATGTTCTGTAATTCTTGAATTTTGTGACACTGCAAAAACAATTCAATTGGCCTACTTTACCAATATCTGCACATTAAGAATATTAGTTACTAGGGAAAGTAACTTTGTGTTACTTAAACTCTCTTATTAATGCATACATGCCTGGACAGCACACATACATTGCTGAGGCGTTGGATTAAGATCGGAACACCATTAAATGATCATGTTCCATTTAAGCCTATTAAGAATATAAAAAATATTACAAAAGCTATTGCGTGTTTCAGCAAGCGCATATTTAAAAAAAAAAATTTGCTTCAATCAGTTCAACATAACTGATAGGCCTATTGTGATTGTTTCTGTCATGTTTTCAATATTTTAAATAATAAACAAATAACTTTTAATCAGTTAAATTGTTTGTGTGACATGCGGGATGAACAGAACAAATCTACCCTATAGTATATTGGGTCTACTCTAGAGCAAACCTATTGTGGGTTATAATATAATCCAATTGGGAAAAATAACAGTAGGCTAAAGATTGCATAGTGATTTCATTAACATCGTATTGATTAAGGTGAAGCAGGAGACACTGGGAACGACCAGGAACCAGCCAGGTAGAGGGAAGACTTTCTAATGTCAGAAATGGCCGTTAACTTATCTGACGGTTTCTCATGAATCGTAGGATGACATCAAGTGACCTTCAAAAGGAATGGGAAACATTAAGTGCAGGTGTGAAGTGCACTGCTAGGACAGTCCATATCAGGCTCATAGAAGCAGGACTGAACCCCCATAAAGCAAGGAAGAGGCCTTTTATTAATGAGAAACAATGAAGAACCAGGTTGCAATTTGCAAAAAAATTATATTATTCACAGACGCACTCATAAATTGAGAAATCACTGAAACAAAAAATTGTGTTGTGGTCTCTTAATTTTTTCCATGGCTGTATATATCAGATAATCAATAAAACTGCAAGGCGTGCTTCATTTTGTTTCCTAAGACAGAGTAAAAAATGTTTTAGGGTAACTTATTGATGGTCTCAACCCAGCTGACTACTGCAGTCCATACAATATATGAGACATGAAATTTGTTACATAGGTGTATTTTAGGTGGTAGCCTGTAATTCAACACTGTAGCGTAGTGTTCAGGCTTGCATGCATTATTAGCTGGACCACATCATTATACTAACAGCCAAAAAAGTGAATCATGCAACTTCATGCACTAATAGACAGTGAAGTAATCACTGCAATGTACTGAAGTGCAGCCAATAGTCAGGGGTTTGGATGATTGATTCCAGGTGCCCCTGAGTGAAAGAGGTCCTAAAAAATTGGAACATAATTGGATTGGTCTGTGTTGGGGGCCCAATATGATATACTTTCATGGGGCCCAAAATCTCTAGCAGCACTCTAGATGCCATTAACAAGAAAAAAAATTAGCATGCCATTTTTATTTATTTATTGGATTTATTGAACAAGGGCAGCACAAAAGACAATGTTACATGTGAAAACAATGGGAATATATAAAAATTGGCAGTGTGTTAATGCTGACCCTGTAGGAAGAGCAGAATAGGTAAAAGATAGAAGAAAGGTTAAAAATAAGAAAAAGACAGATCATTAAGCAATTTGCTGTGATCTAATTGTAGTTAGCTGGAAAGGGCTGGATAGGATATTTTTAAAGGGCAATGTAAGAAATATAACATAAACATGTTAAAAAAACACTGAAGCCCAGAGTGAATCAAAACGAGCCGAATGATTTGTTCAGCTCAGATGATTTAACGACTATGCTCTCAGTGTGAGAACCTGTTTTGTGGTCCTGCTTAAGCAATTTCTTGATCCTGGGTTCATGGTCTTGAAGTTTCATGGTGCACTGGGCCACTGGTGTCTTGTGCATGACCTTTTATCCAACTGAACAATCAAATGCTGCTGTATCACCAGATTCACTGAGGTGTCTTGTGTCATGCCCCGGTCGTCCGATCCTCCCGTAGTTGCCAGCTGTTTCTCATTGTTGTTAATTAGTCTGGTGTAGAGCAGGGTTCTTCAAATCTGGACCTCGATTCCAAATCCAGGCCTTGTTTTCAGTTCTCCCAGGTAGTCAGTTTAATAATTACTGATTCTGATTGGTCAGAGGCTTCACACCTGACGGACAGGTAAAAGAAGGCTGGAAAACCAGCAGTGCTCGGACCTCGAGGACCGTGATTTGAATAACCCTGGTGTAGAGTATGTTTCCCCAGTCCGGTCATTGATGTCTGTCCTTTGTGCTGCATCTTGTTCCTTGTTGTTCTCCAAATAAATCCCTCATTTACCTGACCCCACGGCTTCTGTGCTGCTTCCCCGCTCCGTGCCCCCGAAGGCTAGACATCTTGTAAGATCTTCAGGGTATCATTTCTTGAGCCAGGATCTGAGGACATCCACATAATCTTCAGTAGTCTTCCACAATTCCTTGCTCTTTTCCATTATGCTACTGGCTCCTCCATTCAGCAGTAATTTTGAACATTCGTCTTCTGCTGTATGGAAATACTTTAGATTCCATATAGACCAGGGGTGCCTAATACGTACGTCGACCGCGATCTACTGGTCGATCGCAAAGGTAGTCTGGGTAGATCGTATGGCATAAAAAGTAGAGGATGGATTACGCGTTCAACCGCGCCCGCTGCTGCAGAAGTCTAGAAAGCTACGGAGTCGCCTAGTTAGCCTCCAATTTATTTCTACTAAACTTTAGAAAGGGTATAAAATGAATGGGGGAGCTGGACCAAGTAAGAAGTCAAAAACCTACCACTTCAATACGGAATGGGAGGAGGATTTTTTCACAATGTCTTATTCGAAGTGCGTTTGCCTTTTCTGTCAGTCTACAGTTGTTATTCCGAAGAAGGGAAATGTGGAGCGGCATTTTCGGACTGTTCAAAAAAACTACGACATTAAGTTCACTCCGAAAAGCGAGCTGAGAAAGAGAAAGGTGAAGGAACTAAAATTCCAGTTCAATTCAAAAATATTTTATTTATCCCAAAGGGAAATTAATAATAAGAATAGTAATAATAATTATTATTGTTATAAATAATAATAAAAAAGAATACTCAATATTTTTATACATAAATATATGTTTTGCATTTTTATAGTAGATCATTTTGACTTGGTCATTTATAAGTAGCTCGCAAGCTGAAAAAGTGTGGCACCCCTGATATAGACGATAGCAAAAATAAGAGCTTTGTTGGCACCAGCTTCTGCTGATTTAAAGACTTTTGGTAGATAAGTTCTCCTTGGGTATAGATTATTTTTGGGCAAATTTCCAGCTCCTTTTTTGTTTTATAAATATTGCAATTTTTATTGTAAAAAAAATCAAATATTGCGTTGTGATTTTTTCTCCCAGTATCTCCTACCCTTTCCATTTAATGCACACAAAAGACTTAAGAATATCGGTATTGACAACACCAATTAAATCACATCAGTCGTACCGCCCATCTCTATTGTGAAGGAGAGGCGACGCTTCCTTACGATAAAGAGCAGGTGGGCGTGACTAAACTCCTCGTGGTGCAACAACCCTGATGGATTGCCGCGCATTTCAGATGACGTCAGACGTCGCCGCAGCCCCTGTGTCCACAGACTTGTGCGCGCGGCGAGTGCGAACGAGAGCGGGATCATTAGCGGGAAGCGTCTTGGGCAGTAGCTGCGGCAGCTCGTATGGTGACAGCGACGGCCGGTAGAAGCGGTGAGTGACGCCATGGCTTGGCTTAGGGGGGGCGATTAAGGCAAGCGCAGTTAAAACCAGCTCGCTTAAGCATCATGCGTAAGCGTGCTAAAGTATGGGCTAATAGACTACAAATAAAGCCAGCCAGAGCTCCTTGTTTATGATGCGTGTGTAGCCTTACTTTGTATTTAACGATGGGCAATGATGATTTAACGAACTGTTTATTTATAGAAACAAAAACGATATCTCCAGCGGCATAAATGAGATAAAAGGGCATTGTATTCTGGGAATTTCGCGTGTCTTGATGATTCATTAACTTGCTGCACGTGACTTGCCACCGTACTGCTCCTAGATGGTGAATTTTTAATTAACCTGGCATTCTCCTCTATGGCAGTATGACCGTACTTTTCTAAAAAAGTCGAGCTATTACAATAGTGTGCTGGGAACTGACCCAGGACTGCCCAATGAGCCGAGATCCCATCGCTGCCCTGTCTGCGGCCGATGTTGGAACTGATTCAGGGTCAGCAATGCGGTATCAGTGGAAGGAAACCCCATCTCATATCGTGTGACTAAGCCCGCCTTTCCAGAGGAAAGTCCCGCCGGATAAGATGTCGTTAGGTTTGAAAAAGAACTCAAAGCGGGAGCCTTTATTTATTTTACTATATATATTGTAATATCATTCGCCTACTTGTAGACAGCCTGTTGAATAGTCACAAAATCTGTGTTGCGTTCAGTTGACTTTTCTGGAATATTTAACACTCTTACTACCTTTGTATTTAGCCAGTTAAATGCGGCGTTATTTGTGTGAAACGAGATATTTGCATTTTGCGTTCCAGGTCCTGCCATATGTTTCCGTTTCGCGTTAATGCTCTCTGACTGCGTTGACAGATGTGATAGGCGCGGTAAACAGGACTGTCAATACGGGTTTTGTAAACGTCGGCCCGAGTTTAACGCTCAATTAATTTATTTGAACTGGTCGATATTTCAGAACCGTAGTGTTTTTGGCAGGATTTTCAGCGCGTGCAGGACATGTGGTAGCGGATTGTTGTTTACGGCGGCGCGAGACCGCGTGGCAGTATGTATCGGTGATAGCAATCTGCTCTAACCACACTTGTAATTCAAACTCCATACTGCAATATAATACTTGGTTTACCTGTAGTGAAGTTTGAGAATATTTGTGTGATACGCACCCATTATATAAGTATAGTGTTTTAATTAGTTCTTTGTTCCCTGCCAGATTTATATTTTTACCAAGGGCATAGAGCATTGAACATGAGGAAGGAAATCGCAGCTGTGGTGTTCTTCCTGAAGCGTCTCATAAGGAAAGCGGAGAAACTGGAGGCTGAGCAAGTGGAGAAATTTGTGGAACGACTCACTGTGGCTTTACAGGAGAAATATAGGGGGCACTGGTATCCAGAGAATCCTAGCAAGGGTCAGGCTTTCAGGTACTGTATATGGGTGTCATCCACTGAACTGCGGGGAGGGAGGGAGTAAGACAATCTCATGGGCCTGTGAGTAACGGGGGCCCTAAAAAATTTGGGAAATAAATGGATTGGTCTGGGTTGGGGGTCTAATATGAAATGCTTTTGTGGGGTGGCCCTGGGTACTAGCATAACAGTTTGTTAGCAAACTACAACTGGTTCATTTAGTGTACCTTTTTTTAAGACGGTGCTATCTGTTTTTTGGTTATTGGTTCATATGGAGATGTTTATAAAATTAGTCTTGCTTATCTCGCTTTCCAGTCATGATGCACAGGGGCTGTGTCCGTTGCAGGTGTATACGAGTGAATAAGTTTCAGAGGGAGGACCCAGAGCTGCAGAGAGCTTGTGAGGAGAGTGGGATCCTCTACAAAGACTTGGGGCTCCCTCGAGAGCTTACGCTGTGGGTGGACCCAGGGGAAGTGTGCTGCAGGTGGGTTTCCACACAGTTCCCCACATGTGCTGCACCGAATCTACGCGGTAGTCTGTTTGATTTCGGTTTCTCATATCCACATTATTTTAGTAGAGCATTAGTATAGCATTGATTATGTGTTCCACTTGAACTCAGAAGTGGGAATTTCAACTGGAACACCCTGAAGTCAGAGGTCCGACTCAAAGTTGGGGGAATCTCTTCAACCTCAACCTCAGAATTCAAGATGGCTGTGCCCTTTATCAGGAGAAGTGAAAACTAGTTATGTACTGTTTATTAGAATTTAAGTCTTATTTGTCTCATTAAATCCGTGGTACATACGGAACTGTCTAACCTCTATCTGTGGACATGTTGCTATGGTGTTCTTGTGTGCAAAATATCATCTAATGCACGATCAACTGGTGTTGCTAACGTTGGCTAACCATGAATTTGGCTAGAACTGATATTGCTTAAATGGCTTTGCAACTGGAACATGGTTGACTCCATGTTCGCCAGTTTGCATTCCGTCTTTGGCAAAATAGCCAAATCTCCACCTGGCTCTTAATGCTCTAGGGGTGCTGGATGAAAGGCTGATGCTGAGCTCTGATCTCAAGCTTTGCTTTTACCCATATGTAACTTAAAAAAAACTGTTGGGATACATGAAAACTAAAGCACTCAGATGTCTCTGTACTCATTCTTGTGAAAATGGCAAATCAAGAATCACTTTTTAAATTTTACTGTATTTCACAAGGTATGGTGAGATGAATCTTGCCTTCACGGTGGCAAGTTTTTTGGGGGATGATGACAACAAGGAAGACGTGACCAAGGACGTGACCAGTGCGGTTGAGAGGGTTACGTCCGACTATCATTCTGGCTCCTCATCGGACGAGGAGAACAGCACCAGGGACACTTCGGCCATTGCTCCTCTCGTCCAGGGCCGGCCTCTCTATCAGGTACTGCTATTGCACACTTTACATTTTCTCATCTGCTGTGTGGGTTTCAGAGGTCATCTTCAGTCTGGACCCTTTAAAAGTTAATGATGCTTTTTCTGATTTAGTTTGGCCATACCTGGTTGAGCTTCCAGTAAATCATCATCATGCATATATAGTCTTAAGCCCAGGTCCATTTGCCTTGCACTGTCATGTGCTTTTTTTTAACACTTGTGGATGCCTCCAGTTATTGTCCTGTACTGTGTTTGTATATCACACAGTGGTCCTCATCTCATGTAACACCAAACTTGTGTGTGAGTGACTTACCAATAAATGCCACTAGAATGGAGTACTGAGTTTGTAGTAAAGGACCCCCAAAACAAAAGCTGAGTAATATAGAGTTTCCAGTCACCATTAAAATCAGTCATCATCAGTAAAACTGTATTTTCTGAATATGGGACAGAAAGTCTTGCAGTTTCAGTGTCATGTAAAAATAAAACCATTCATGGTGCTGAGAAGTTAATGAGGGAAGTTTGCTCAACAAACCACTGGATAAGCGGCTGTGATCCCAGCAGTAGACAGGATGAGCAGTTAATTGCATTTAATGTATCGTTTTGTATTTGTCGTGGTTTTGCAGCATAATTTCCTCAACATACTTTCTCTGCCGCTGAAATTATCATGCTCACGGATAATTAATACATTTGTGACCTATGTGAGTTTTTGCTGGTCTCATTTGTCACTCTCTGCAGTTTGGCTGAGCTGATGATCCCTGAAATAATCTCGATAAACTCACATTTTAATAAACTCAGGATCAATAATTGACCTTCACGCATTGCTGGATTCTAGGGCTGCAACAATTCATCAAGTAATTCGAATAATTCGATTACAAAAAATCCTTGATGCAAATTCTTTGCTTCGTGTAATCCGCACGACTATGTGCCGCTTAGTGATCAGCGTGTTTCACTCGGAGGATTATTACTGTCGCATAGTGTGCTTACGTTGTATTACGTGTAGCAGGTTTGATTTGTTGCCGCGTTGAAAGAAGACAGGGAAAACAGCGAGAAAATTTAGAGAAAAAGACGAAAAATGTCTGGGGCCATTTCAAACAGAAGAAAAGCGAAAATACTGTACAGTGTGTGCATTGTAAAAAAGAATTAGCTTACCACAATAGCACAACGTCAATGATTCAACATCTCAACAGAAAGCACCCAGTCTATGCATCCATTCCACAGAGCAGAACAAATACCAGGTAAGCGCGAGCATTTCACATTTGTGGCTAAACAAAGACCTGCGATAGAAACGTATTTATGGACATATGTGTGAATAAAAAAGTATACCAAGAAGCAGCCCCTATTTTTCCTCAACAAAAACACTGATAATACAACAGCAGTGAAAATGATGCTGTTGTAGTTTAATTAACATGGAGCTGGAGCCTGTCTATACACTAACAGCAAAGAGCAAAGAGACGGTTCCGTTACAGAGATGGTGAACTCAGGTGGAGTGAAGGAAAACAACAGCAGTGCTTGTAATCGCTACTAAAGCTTTACTGGTAAAGAGCTGGTGAGAGTCCTTAATCAAACCAGCTGTTAAGCTGAAAGGTGAAGAAAAGAGATGCTTTCAGCTGCTCCCATCCACCGCCGTTTGTCTCCCACAGCAGCAAGGCTACAGTAAAGCTATACAAGTTAAAATAGAAGCTGTTCGTATGCAGATAAACTGTTAGCTTAGTTTGACACTATATTTAAATTTGGTAACTTGCAGCAGGCTGACAGCAGCCGTCACACTGTGTTATACACACACTCATTCTGTAACACACTTAAACACACACACACACTCACCTTCACTTACACACACACTCATTCTGTAACACACTTAAACACACACACACTCACTCACCTTCACTTACACACACATGTACATGCACACATCATTCCTACCTCATCCAGGAGATACAATCCTGTCAGAACTTTTTTTATGCCTCCTATAAATGTACAAGAATACAGAAAGTAAAGGCCATTTTAATTTATGCCTTAGTTTAGGATATATGTATACTTTTTTTCAATAATTTTATTTGACATTATTTTATTTTTTGCATTTAAGAAAGTGTTTTCTAAAAAAAAACAAATATCTACATAAATGCACTAAGAGTTTAGTTCAGTTGTTGTATGGAGTTCAATCATTAAAAATGTTCCTAAAAAGGAAACCCATGAGTTGTTCATTTTAAGAGACCTGTCTATTTTTTCTTTTTTGAATAGTTACTATTGCTCTTTAATAAAACAAAAGTATTTCTTATCCGATTAATCGATGGAATAGTCAATAGAATACTCGATTACTAAAATAATCGATAGCTGCAGCCCTACTGGATTCATTGGAGAGAGCTCAGTAAAGCTACAGGTTTACTGGAATTCTTATTACAAAGATCTGAGCAAATAAATTTAAACATAATATACCCATTACGTTATAAGGAGAAATGTTTGTTGTTTAATCAAATCATTTAGATTCTCTATTTAACCAGATAAATTAGTATTGTAAGACAAGCCTTTCTTGTTTTAACAGCATCATTTCTTATCTCGTAATGAGATATGAAATTCTCGTTATAACGAGAGTTTTAACTATACTTCCTTGTTGAAATGAAATACAGATCTCATTATAATGAGATTCTTATTCTGTTGTAACAAGAAACTGGGTAAATTTTATCGCGATGCCAGCAATACGCTACTTTAGCCTTCCACCATGTTTTCACTGATGCAAAAACAAACCCATGTTGTGTTCTGCGCCTATGCACCTATATCTGGGAGTGTGTTGCTAACTTTGGTTGATGCTGGACAGTAACGTGAGTTTTTCAAAGCGCGGTAATCAACCACGGTTTTAATAATAAAATAAAATTTGATACAGAAATACCGTCGGGGATTTTAGCGTGGTTTACTGTGAAACCAGTAATGTTTTATCCGTCCTTAGTGTGGCGTTAGTGTCTGTTCCCATTTCACATGGGTTTCCCTCTGATATTCCAGTTTCTTACTGCGGTCCAAAGACATACGGTTAACCTAATTGGTGTTTTTCAGTTTTCGGTTGCCCATCCAGGATGTACCCCCGCCTTACACCTTATGCTGCCTGGGCCCCCAGCCCTCTTGCAATTCTAACCAGGGTAACCAGTTAGAAGATGGCTGAATGGATGGATGCATGCCTTACCTGTGATTGAATGAAGTGCTGTATGGGTATAAGTGGTTTATGGTTCCACATTTTCTACTTTTTACATTCTTCTGGATCTCTTGCAGGTTGTCTACCCTGTGGTGCCGATGTGGCACCCGTCGCCCAGGAAAAAACCCGGGCCCAGTAAAGGGCAGGGCCTTCATCACCACGCCTATGGCTTCCGCTCGCAGGGCAAGCCCATGGCCTCCTTCAGGCAGAGTGCCTGGGCTCTGACGGGGCCTCGTGGTGGAAACAGTTACTGGGGCAGCACCCCTAATCTAGTGCACTCATAGAATCCGCGGCAGCCATCCAGTGTTGCAGAAATGAACCACTACTTAGTGACCCTCTGTGTTTTTTTTGTTTTTTGTTTTTTTTTTTAAAAAAAAAACCTCAAAATATTTTTGTAGAAAATGTTACTGTGGATTTTTTTTTAAAGAAATGTTAAGTCTTTGCACTTTAGATAATTTCTAACAGAAAATTGTGTAAGGTTTCTGCATATAAACATAGTGAACTTAATATGAATTTTTAGATAGAAATATGTGCTGTATTTATAAAGGGATCATTGTTATTCTGATGTAACTTTGAGTCTGTACTGTTAAAAATGACCAAATGTTTTATATTTATTCACAGCAAACTATAATGTATTGTTCACAAAACCTAAATTATAAGACACATTAAACACATTTTCCCTAGGTAGTATTTTTCTGTTTTTGTATATCAAATGACATTTTTGCAGCTGTATTTTCATGTTGTTTCAAAGTTTCCTGAGACTAGTCGTAAAGTATAATAGATATATTTAATGGAACTTGGAAATATTAAATTATTGTGCATTAGTAATTTAGGGCAATTGCTTTTTCACTACCTTTTGTATTATGAGCCGTGAAATGTAACCACAGTTTCTTGTTTTGGTGTCAGAATATAGATATTTTTAAAAATATTGATTTTAAGGTGCTTTTTTTCAAGTCTTATGTAAGGAATCATATGCCCAAAGTTGACTGAAGTTACAAATTGATAACAGCCATTTTAGTGATGGCTCTCCACAATCATGCTGTTAGGAGAAAAAGTGCTTTAGATGGTAAGTTTTAGGGGCTGTGTAGAATTTGACCTGTATTTTCATGTTTGGAATAAAACAAATATTGATCAAATGAAACTTTTGTCGCAAAGTGGATTTGTCTTTTACGAACTTGCATGTATGTGATGATAGAACTTCTAAGTAAAATTATGTGAGGCTGGTAAAATGTAAATCAAATACTATTTTAGGAAGTAAAGAGGTTTGGCCTTGAGCAGGACAGAAATATTAGCAGATTGAAGATGATTGACAGAAACAGTACATGGAATTGGGAGGGGGTGGAATCTGACAGTTGTGGTGACCTGTAGTGTGCAATGCAGTACTCAAAGGCTGAAGGTGCTTTAGTTTTAGATACTTGAAGTGTTTCCTTCAACACTGAAAGGCTTTCTGGTACCAAAGTCTGTGTTAAGATGGGTAAAGCATTTTATTAAAAGCTCAACTCTTTGTTAAGGCTTCTGTATGATCAGAGTGCTATTCACTATTAAGTGGGCCTCAACACTTCACCAGTATGTAAAACATTCTGGAACCAATTGTGCTGTGGTGCAGAATATACTCTGGACGCTGACTATATAGCAATGAGGTGTGAGGATGATGTACTAGAATAACTAGATGATGGTGTAAACAACAGCAAGCATAACTGTGATCCAAACTCAGAAGTGTAACCAACACCAATGTACAAAAACTACTATGCAGCTCAGGCAGAGGAATGTTACTGGAAACCAGTATTGTGATTGTGGTAGAATTGGGGTTTCGCCTGGGTGAGTTTGCTGAACTGCCTAGCTTCAGTAAAGAGGCTGTGAAGATATGTGGCCCAGGTGGCAATGGACTTGTACCGCTTCTGTGGTAGTAGTTTGGCGATGGAGTGAGTGGGATCTGTGGCAATCTAGACAGCCCTCTTCTTAGCGTTGACAGCAAAGAAGACTTTTATCACCGCCAGCTGACAGGCAATGACCTCCTGAGTGGAGTGGACCACCCGCCACATTCAGGTCATGGGGAGGGAGGAGGTGGTAACTGATATGGTCAGGATACTCCAGGGATGGCTGAGTAGAAGTTTGTGGGGATGGGAAGTGAGGTTACGCTTCCTGACCTGGCAGAGGAAAAACAATGTTTACTGTGCTTTCATAATGACATCAAATCATAGATCAGTGTGAGTTTTCAGCGATTCAACTGATAAACTGTAAACGAGCAGACAGTTCCATTTCATACGCAAAAAAATAAAATAAGGGAAGAGCTTTTGTGTGCCAGTAATGATAGCTCTTTTGTATGCGGCAAAAAAATGCCTCGTTCGGTTAGCCGTAATTGCCTGCAAACACCAGTAGATGTAGCCATTTTACAACGCACGTTTACAGTTTATGAAACACATGGAAACTATTTTATAAACATTTGGACAACAAAAGCCGACACTTGTTAAATGTTTATTTTAGCATTTTAGCACGTGTTTAAAATTTCTTCCAGCCGCCTTTCTTTCACTGAAATACTAAAGGTACAGATTTTACATATCGTTTTATTAAAACCGATTTTCAGGACCAATAAAAAATTTAAAATGACGAAACACATTGCTTCCTTATCTAGGTGTGACATGGAATATAGCTTCCTAAACATAATGGTTATTCGCACGTCACTGACTAGCTCATTGATCCTCTAAATACAGATTAATAGACGATGAAATGCGTAATGTTGATATTCATTTTTGTTCTTTGTACGCTTCTACTTCAAATGTTGTTATAGCTAAACGATTTGTATCAATTAATATTTAATTTGCTCTGAAGGCACGATATCCAATGAAATTCACCTGTAATGCCAATTCTCTAATTCAAATTTTTTGGTGGTCGATTAAATTTAAGCATTAAATTTAAGGTTGGGGGTGGTTGTAGGTTTTATTATGTTACAGATATGCTTCCCAATGAAGCGAGGTTATCATAGGTTAATATAAGCTTATCAAACAAAAATGAAATATCCTCTGGCGTTGCCTTGGAAACAGTGTTGCGTCCTTTGGTGCGCACGCGCATTGGACTCACCTTTTGCAACTCAAGATGCTTCAGCGACCTGAATAATTTAATGAATTATTTTGTGAATAACTAAAAAGAAATTCTATTTTAACCTGTTCATAGTTAATACGTTGCACGTGAATGCTATCAAAACCTTTGTCTATAGGTAGGAACGTCTATTCTCATGCTTCCTGCCGCTTATCAGGTACTGGGTCCAGGGGCGTAGGAAGGGGTGTACCCCCAAATATTTAATTTGGATTCATTCAATTCATTTAAAGTCGTTCAGGCAGACCCAACACTAGTTCATCGAATGGCACAATTAGCTTAAGTGCATGTTTTGAACTAGGGGGACTTTCATACGTAAAGCTCTAGTTAACAACTTCCATAATTGGACCCATTCAGTTGCATGGTTCCATCTATGCTTTGGAACTATGCTTTAGGGAAACGCACCTCAGAGCAGGGGGTGGATTTGACCGGTCCTCCTTTGAGGTGTGACACAACGGTGCTACCCTGAGCCCTCTGCCTCGTTCATTATACATTATATTCATTAACTCCGTGATTTACGTTCAGTTTGCCTGTTTTGTGAGAGTAGATTACAACTGGTCACAATCCATATTCATCCTCCGTGAATTTTTCTACCCTCCCTTTTTCCATCCCCAGCGGCTATTTCTTTCGGAGCTGAACAGACCACCTGCGCGTCGGGAGAACGGGCGGCAGGAGGCGTCGAAGGCATTCGCCGCCAAAAGATGAGCACGAAGGGAAGCCGCGCCAGTTACCTACGACCGGAAGTCACGTGGTCAGATTCCAGCGTCCGTCCACCTGCTGAGGCGGGGCGCGAGGCGGAATGTGGACAGAGAGCTCGTGCAGGGCAGTACTGGGCTTCTTCTCAAGTTCGGTGCGCAGCACAGCCTTGCGAGACACGGGAGCCGCTCGACGCCGGAGGATGGTTTTCTTAATGCTCTTCGTCCGCTTCTTGGTCCTTGGAGCTCTGTGTGCCAGTAAGTTTTTCCGAATATTTTTTCCCGCTCTGTCGTTTTTATATATTTAAGGTATCGGCATAGTAGAGTACTTCACAATGGCGTAGTAACCTATTTAAAACGTAATTACCTGTTACCATGAAAAACAAAAGTTTTTTTGCCCTGGTAGAAAGTCGACGAATTAAGTTGGAATCGAGGTAATTACTTGTATCAGTTATTCAACTTATATGTTGTTTAATCTTTTCATGCAGCACCTTTTATTTTCGAGCGTTTTTGTGATGCTATGGATCCCGTCGGTGCCTTTGTATCCAAACTAATTTTACACCTATACAAATACATTAAGGTTTACTGCACAAATGATGGGAAAATGTTCGGCATTTGACTGTGATTTCTGTACCGTGTAATTATATCTCAAGTCGCGACTCTTCTTTTTAACTTTATTGAGAATGTGGGATTTCAAAAGTCCTAAAATAATCCATGTTTTATTTACCCGTCATCCGTGTATTATTTTCTAGATATGAATTTGAATGGATTTTGCAATTAATAATGAATTGGTGAAACTTACACAAGACCAAATTAGACCCACTTTCGCCTTCTGAACCGACTAGTTTTCCTCAGTTTTATTCTGTTGACACAATTTCTAGTTGTTGAATATATATGAATATACATTTTAAACTTGTATAGTTCTGAGATTAACTTAATTTTCCCTTTCGTAACGTAATAATACGGAAATATAACAATTAACAGATTCCTTAAAGATTATTTTGGAGTTGTTATTGTGCTGATGATACATCGGGAAATTGGCAACTACGTTTTAAAACGTAGGTTTATGATTGGCAGTTATAACGTGAAAATCATTTAGTCAAATTGATTGGTATCGTGCACCAATGTAATTACCAATTGAATTAATTCAGCGCCGAAGCAACTGTATAACAGCTAACACTGCTACCTAATCTGATTTAAACCTTAACTGGGATTTAAAGTGTTATGTATGGTTTTATGTCTTGCCATCTGCCAGACTAAACTGAACACCCCCCCCATACGACGAAGCGCTGTTTTCGAAATCGTATGAGAAAATGTCTTTCACATGCAATACGCTGCACATATATGGCGGTCCGCATAAAAGTGAATAGTGTGCGCGCGCGTATGAAATTAATAGGTGTAGGAATAAATGAAAGGGAAACAGTGCTGTAATGTGGTGCTGTTTGAAAGATGTCGAACCTAATCCGTGATTTTTTTTTGTGCAAATATGTGTGTTGTATTATTTTTTTATATATATAATTATAACTTATGTCTCTTGGCGCACGTTCAAACACAGTTGAAACAGAAGTTTTTAATCAGAACTGATTAATTTCTCAGGCATCCCTAGTTTATTTTTCTTTAAGTCGAAAGGTTTCCTACTTTGTGCTGGAATGAAATATGGGTTGTGATACTACAATGCTGAAGGTACTGATTTTACACTGTATCCATCTCTGCCTCAAGCAGAGGAATTTGTCATGTTAACATAGTGAGATTCGTTCAGTGATAAGTCACATTGTGTGTCCTGTTGTGTCTTGGTTACCCAAAGACCTGCTGGTCGGAATGGTAGGGGTGTTTGACTGATCACTTTTGTGAAGGTGAAATTGCTTTCAGTAGTTACCCACATCGAAGCAGCCGCACCATTACATTGATTCTCTATCAAACTGTAATGTTTTCCTTTTATGATACGGACCACAGTTTTTGGCAGATCAGTGTGCCTGTAGCCTGAATGCATTTTTAGCAATGCTGTTTTGTGGCTGTTCCACATAGCTTGGAATCTGAACTGAAACTGGCCCATCCCATTATCTGAAGACAAGCGAAACCGGGGTAGATAAGTATCATTAGTATCTGCTTGCATAGTAGAGGGAGCTGAATAACCAGAGTTATTGTTAGGCATTTGCCATTACAATTTACCATTAACTAGTAAACTAGAAAACCAGAGTGTTGTGTTCACTCTACCTTTAGTGTTTTACAGTGTTTTTTTGTTGGGGAGGCAAGAATAATACAGAGCGTGGTTTATGGGCCTTGTTTTTCGTATTATTAGGATCTGGACTGTGTTTTCTCCGTTTAGTGTTGAGTAGGTTATATGAGCTCATTAACATTACAATGGTGCCTTGGCCTCGTTATCGCAGGCTGGCCCACTTCCTAAGGCAAGCAAGCTGTTGCTTCTAAAGTTGGCGTGCCATTTACTCTGTACGGCAGCGAATCGAGATTGCATGGAGTACTTGGTCTTAATGCTGTATCTATTCTTGAGTGGCTCATTCAGTTCTCGTTTTGTATCAGTAGAACTTCGGCACATTCCCCAAGGTTAACGCTTGTACGTTGTCATGATTTGGATTGATGGTAAAATATGGTTGGCCAGAGGAGGATTTTAGTTGTATATCAGGGGATTCGGCGTCTTATTATCTTGTCCAGTTTACTGAATGTATTCTTCTTACATTGTTGTGAGTCTGCTTTATCAGTGTCTTTCCCTGAACTTTTGGAACTACTTTGAAATGAGAACATGCTGTTTGTGCTGTTACTTGATCCTGAGAAACTGGCGCGTATGGGTGCTTTTATATCTGAGAGAGATTTTTAAATGTATGAATCTTGTTGATATTTTAAAACTATCCTTTTTAAGTAAATGTGCCCTTACCCAGGCTATAGAATTTGAACTTTAAATAGTAACAGTATGGTTTTGACATTTTTGTAATAGGAAGTCTGAAACGGTTGCTTTTATTTTCCTGTTAATATTTTACTGGCATGCGCAGTAAAGATCTAAACTTGTTCCCCAAGTTGTGTTTATCTTTGTTCAAAGTCTAAATAAGTCATTTATCAAGCCTGTAGATCTCCGTCAAACAGTGTGAGTGAAGAATGATAATGAAACAGTCATATGGGTCTTTTCCTCTTCTTGACAGGTGTATATTGACATTGGGCTCATATGCATATCGACCTTAGGCTTTCCCTTCATGTGGTTGATTTTTTTATTTTGTACTACCATTTCAGAGATCAGTAGTCCCCCCCCTCCCCCCCTAGCAGGAGGTAACGCTGAGCAGACTCCTGCAAGCTAGTCACTGTGTTACCTGATAAGGCTGTGCCTGTGTGAGTCCCCAGCCAGTCAATTTCAACAGGTATCCTAGCAACGGCTCCTGGCTAGCCACGAGGGTGTGTGTGGTGGTTGTGGGGGGGAGGGTGGCACTGGGCATGTGTGTCGAATGAGGCTGCCTCTGGCGTGAATTAACTCTTTGTACTTACTAACCTTTAGGCATCACTCAGGAATATGACCCAAGAGTAGCCAGTTGTTTTGCTATCAAAATTTAAACCTGAGACAGGGAGCTTTAATATCTGACTTGAGTGTTTATGATATGCAGTCGTTTAATATTTCAGTGCAATGCTAAAGCAGAATTTTAAGTTGTTTTCAAACGCTGTTTTTGCATAATGCGAGTGCATTTAGATTATAGTAATCTGCTGCTGTATTGCTGATGTATTAATCCACATTGTTCTGAGCAAGCAGCCTGATGCAAGGTACAATACTGCTTGACTGTTCTGAGTCGTCTGTGTTGTGGACTGGGAGAACTTCAGGTGTCCACTGGTCTGCCTTTGATTTTTGAGTCTCCCCCAGTGTACTCATGAGGAGTCATTAATTGTTAATGTTTTTATGTTCCTGAAGTGTTGCTAGCTACTATGTGGATGTAGGATTGTATGACATGCAAGGCATAGTTGGGAACTTTTGTCTTTCATTAGGAAAGATTTCCTCCGTGAACTAAAAGAACCTCTAATGTGACCGGGCTGTAAAAACTGTCACCCCTGGGCTGTATTCTGCTTACAAGATGTCAGTTTGGGACCCCCCCCCCATAACGTAATATTCTGTTAATGCAAAAAACAGACATTGACTTACAAGGAAGATTGTGGGAATTTCTGCAGTACTTCTCGCTCATATATTTTGTGCTAGGAATTGGAAGGTTGGTCCAGGAAACATGGTGCTTGTTGTACCTGGAAGACTGTTCACATCCAGGCTCTGAAATTAAATTCCCTGGTGGTTGCTGTGTAAGTCACATGATTGAATTTTAATTGAAGCTTATGTTGCCCGGTGCTTATCTTCACCTTCAAAGCCTATCCTTGGAAATAAAGCAGGGACACTTGGAATCTAATTACCATCCAGGACAATTTGATCGTCTCTGTATTGGCATGATGAAGAAATCAGTCTTGAATATTCTGCAGTGAGGCCACCTTAATATTTTAGCATTTTGATGCTGTGTTGCTGGTGGTACTTCAGTATGGTTTTCAGCACTGTTTCCCGTCTTATTCAGGTTGACAGAGGCACCCGATATCTGAGGGGCCTCAGTTACGATCCATTAAGATATGACCGGTGATTAATGGGTGTGCCTATTTCTCATTATGTCTGTGGAGAGACGCTTTCGGCTCAGAGCTCATTTTTCATCTTGCATGTATCCAGAGAAATGTAACAGGGGTAGACTGTACATTGTAGGTGATGAGAAGGGAGCATTGGTGTTGAGTTGGGGCAGACCGGGGGCACGCATGATATTCATCTTTGTTTACAGTGCCCCCAGTTAGTCTTTTTGTGTCTCCTATCAGCCAATCTGGGCCTGTTTTTTGTTCATCCTCATTCTGAGTGATCTGTCGCCCTGGGTTCCATGGCATCCATCAGACCCCATTTATCATCTTTGTGTCATTTGCACTGTTTTTTTGTGCGCATTTTTCTTCCTTGTGAGTTTTCAGTAGAAAGGCTCCACAGCATAGATGTATCCACGTGCATACAGTATCAGCCAAAAGTTTGGAGACACCTAACCAGAAAGATTTACTTGTTACTATTCTCTGCATCTTAGAATACTTAAGACTTAACCACTATAAAATAACACATTTGGAATTATGCGCTGACCAAAAAACGCATTAAACAAAAAAATTCATTTGGGGGTGGGGGGAGCAGCTCTGTGGGTTTGGACTTTGGAGTTTGCCGGTTCAAATCCCATGATCGGCAGAGTGATGTCACCACTGGGCTATTA